TTTCGTGTATTTACATAGAGTTTTGAAATTTATTCATATATTACGTAGACATATAGTCCTATATTTTAAGGGTCTGCTACGATGCCTGATATAAATTTGGAGCCAAATAGTAATTAATTCGAAAATATACTTATTTAGTTTATTGTTGATTATATCAGTATGTGTATTTTTTGTCAAAAAATGTTTTAACGAGCCTTTCTATGTCATTATCCATTCTATAACAAGACACTCAATTATCTCAAATTGATATTTATGGCAGCATCTACAGACGAACTGAGATTGATCGATATGAAAACCAGGCGACATGAATAAGTTACCGACGAGAAAACGGTCTATGGAAATCATTTCAAAATAAATTGATCACTCTGAAGGTATCTGAAAAGGTCTCGAGCTCTTGTAAATTCAATGAAAACTATGAATAGTGATTGAAATCCTAAACATTTCTAAAACATTTAGAGCCAGCTCAAAAGTACTCAAATACTTAAGACCATTTCTTCCTACCCTTTGAAAAATGTAATCTTGATACTTGCAATAAAAATCTTATAAACTTTAAAGAGTACATTGTAGGATCAAAACGGATAGGCTGTGATAAATTTTCTGCTCAATAAGGTTATGTTTAAGAGAGATATTCACTAAACCATTTATTCCATAGCCATAGTAAAAAAACATGTAAACTCTTTTAATCTATTTACATATAGTCATGCTTGTTACTCACACACTTACACCCACGTGGTCATAACTACACATTTTTTCCTTTTAGTTTTTCAGCAAATTCTGTATTAAAGTGTCAAAAACTTATATTCGTTCAATATATATATATATATATATATATACGTTTCTGACCACTATAGTAATCAATGTCGTACTTCTTAAGCTACGCAGATAGACTTCGAGCAAAGCATCTAAAACTTTACCAGCCGAAGTCAGCAAAATCATCATCGTCAACAACCGTCGAGCAGGCAGACTCGAATAGCTTCATCATAAAACGAGATCGTCATCGAATCGTCGTACCTTTAGATGAACTTGTTCAAAATTTTCTTCTTGTATGGTTGGATGAAAAATTCGATGAATCAGTAGACGATTATGGTCATTCAATCAAACAGCTACGACGTACCGTTAATAAGATTGAAACATTCTGCGAAACTGATGAATGTATCGAGTATATACTACAACTTCAAAACCAAAAAATACTTCTTATTATTTCTGGTGCACTATGTGAAACTGTTGTGTCACGCATTCATAATATGACACAACTCTATTCAATTTATGTATTCTGTCAAAAAAAAGAAAAATATGAAGAATGGGCAAAACAGTGGTCCAAAGTAAAAGGTATTTTCACTGAAATTATTCCAATTTGTGATGCAGTTCGACAATCTGCTCGACAATGTGACGAAGATTCTGTCCCAATCGGTTCTGAAATCGAACCCTCATTCATGTATACACAACTTTTCAAAGAAATTATTCTCACAATCGATTTTGATAAAATGAAAGAAGTGAAAGATTTAGTCGAATATGCCCGTAAACACCCGGACTATGTCGAAAATAATGCACAGTTGAAACTTATCAATAAATTCGGTGAAGAGTACGGTGACGACAATATAACCTTTGAAGTTATTGATAAACATGGTAAACATCATCCCGGAAATGTCGATGACAAACCCATTTGGTGGTACACCCAGCAATGTTTTACGTACCAACTTGTCAACAAAGCTCTACGCTCTCTAGACGTCAGTACTCTTCTAAAAATGGGTTTCTTCATTTGTGACGTTCACCATAATATCGAAAAACTTCATCTCGAACAATCTAATGGAACTAAGGCAGTTGCTTTACCAAGTACTGTCTATCGAGGTCAAATCATGAGAAAGGAAGATTTTCGAAACAAAATTAAACAAGATAAACTAATATCCTTTAACAATTTCGTATCAACAAGTGAGGATCGTATGATTGCACTCAGCTTTATTTCTTCTACTGATGATAATGTGATCGCTGTACTATTCACTATAACAATTGATCGATCACATTCATCTTCACCATCATCAGCAGCGATCTTTGCCTCCGTCAGTGCCATTAGCAAGTATTCAGACGAAAAAGAGATTCTCTTCTCTACTCATACCATTTTTCGCGTCCAGAAAATCGAACCCATGAAAGAAAATGGAAGAATATTACAGCAAGTACACCTAACACTCACAAATGACGACGATGACCATCAGCTAAGTGGTCTCACCAAACAATTACGAAAAGAGATTACTGGTACAGGATGGCAAAAAATGGGTTTATTGTTATGGAAACTCGGCGAGAATAATAAAGCCGAAGAATTGTACAACATGTTACTCAACGAGGCATCAAATGAAGATGATGAATCCTATTGTTATCACTACCTTGGAATGATTAAGGACTATCTAGGACAATACAATGAGGCCATTGAATTTTATCAAAAATCTTTAGAAATCAAAGAGAAAACTCTCCCTCCGAATCATCCTGACTTGGCTGCTTCCTACAACAACATCGGTTTGGTGTATAGAAAAATGGGCGAGTACTCGAAAGCACTTTCATCGTACGAACGATCACTTGAAATCCAAAAAAAAGGTCTCCCTCCGAATCATCCCGACTTGGCTTCTTCCTACAACAACATCGGTAATGTGTATTATGAAATGGGCGAGTACTCGAAAGCACTTACATCGTATGAACGATCACTAGAAATCCGAAAAATAGCTCTCCCTCCGAATCATCCCGACTTGGCTAGTTCCTACAACAACATCGGTATGGTGTATGATGGCATGGGCGAGTACTCGAAAGCACTTTCATCGTATGAACGAGCACTTGAAATCCAAAAAATAGCTCTCCCTCCGAATCATCCCCACTTGGCTGCTTCCTACAACAACATCGGTTCGGTGTATGATAACATGGGCGAGTACTCGAAAGCACTTTCATCGTACGAACGATCACTTGAAATCCAAAAAATAGCTCTCCCTCCGAATCATCCCTC